GCAAGTGATGTCACACATTATTTAAGGGGTGACATAGAAAAACATAAATCATTGCAATTACAGCATGTTTGATTAATGGACGCATTTCGAAGAAGGTAACGAATGCTACGTTTCTCACTTATTTTGGCTACAAAGCCCGTTTGTAGTTAACAAGTCAGTTAACAGGTATTGCTAGATGGACAGACTCCACTTATTCTTGAAAGTGTTTCTTCACGGATTTTTGTCCGGTAGATAATATATAACCGGAGACAGATGATGTACACATTTAGTAAACTGCTTACAAAAACCAAATCTCGGAGAAAAATCATTTGAGGGGTCAGGTATTTGCAAAGGGCATGGAAATGGAAAGGCACGTGGAAGCTAGTGGAATACAGCAGAAGATCCTTAAGAAAATTCTAAGGCATTCAACAGACCCACGTGGACCTGGCCCACCAGGCAGCTGAGGGCGTGAGAGGGATGCTCCAGTAGGTGATGGGCTGGGGCAGAAACTCCAGGAACACCTCCCATCTTGCTTCCTTTCTCTCTTCTCAGAGAATCAAATCTTTGTTCTGCACATTCTTTAAACTGGGTAACGAATAACGCAGCAAAAATGTCTTTCTTTACCACTGAATTTTTAAATATTATTCAAGCACTTTACAACAACGTTTCAGCTTCTAATAAATGTTGGAAAATACTGAGAATACATTTATCGAAAATGAATTTGAAATTGCTCAGTATGCAGCGAGAGAGCCGATTTGGCGGCATCGTAGCACTAAGAATTCAATTCGAGGTAGCAGGCAACACAGTTTTAGAACTCGCTCGTGGCATTCATAAAGATTTGCAACTTAGAACATAAGCCAAAGTTACATTTTGAACGTCATCTACTTTTAAATGGTGCTTTAAGTGAAATTAATACTTCAAACAAAATAATGCATAAACCAAATTCGACGCCCTTAACTAGCACCAAAGGGGGCAAGGATGAGAGGAGAATGGCGATATCTTACAAACTGTTGAGTCTGGGCAGCAGGTACACTATTCTGTTTGAAAATATCTACCGTAAAAAGTTTTAAAAATAGCACCTTAATGGCTGCCACAAAACATCCTTAGTTGCCTCCCAATTTCTTAAATAATTAATTACTTAACTACTAAAAAGTGACTACCAACATAAAAGAATCTCTGGGCTCATAGGGAGCTCATAGTTCATGCTGTATAGCCTCTGTGGGTGCAAGAGCTAGGTCACTGGGTCTTGATTACCTCCTGCAATGGGAAACTTCCCACCTGATATCTCACGCCCTTCAAAAACACCTGAAGGTTACCAGAGTCCAAAGCAAACACGCCCAGCCACACACTCATGCGGTCACTCACACACTCACACAGTCACTCATGCACCCTCTCGCACGCACTCACACAGTAATGGGCTGGTCAGCTGACTCTTCAAGCCTCAGTCTCTGAATCTGTGAACCACTGCGAACACTTTCAATGCCTCCTTCTTCCACGAGGACTTGAGAAAACCCAGCCTCCACTTTTCAGGGGCCCTTAGCCTCACCCGGATCCTGGTGGCCAGCCCTAGAGGGCAGAGAGCCCGGGGCAGGGACAGGAGAAGCAGGAAGAGTAATTTGGATGCAAAACAGTTTCAGGGGAAGTGAAGCCTGATGGGAGGGGCAGGCGTTTGGCAAGATGAGGGTGAGAGAGGCTATGTCTGTGAGAGTCCAGAACCCCAGTGAGTGCTCGGGTGTCCTCTGTCAAAGAAAAAATGCACCAAACAAAGTTAAACAGGCTCAGGAGACTTTATTCAAAGCTATGGCAATAGGGGAGAGAGACTGAACTCAACTCCACTGAAACAAAAGGTGGGGAGGTTTTTAAGCGCTGGATGGGCTCGTGGAAAGTGCTAGAGGATGCCAGGAGGGAGCTTGGTCCATCTATGTGTCCAGCACACTGAATCATTCCTGGGTTTGCAAATGTTTCTCTCTATGAGTAGGCCATCTGTTTGCTCATTGTCACTTGCTCATTGTCACTATCCTCCTATGGAACCAGGAGACAGGTGTGCTATCTTGATGATGACACTTCCA